CTGGTCTCGAACTCCTGACCTCAGGCAATCTGCCCACCTTGACCTCCCAAAGTGCTGGGATTACAGGCATGAGCCACTGCACCTGGCCAAAAATAATTTTTTAAAATATCTCAAATAAATAGGTCTCCATGTTCTCAGATGAGAAGAGTAAATATAAAGATGTCAGTTTCTATTAAACTTATTAATAGATTTTGTATAATCCCACTAAAAATCCAAGTAGCATTTCTTTTAACTTGAACAAATTTGTGTAAAATTTGGTTAGAAAATTTTCAGGTGAAATCAAATAATTTTGTGAACAATGAAATACAGTGAAATGGTTAGCCCTAATGGCTAAATATTAGGACAGATTAAAAGCAACAATAATTAAAATAACATGGCACTGGCCTCAAAATAGATGTGTAGAAGGAACAGAATACCTAGAAATACTAATACTGCTTTTTTTCTTTTGAGACAGTTTAGCTCTGTTGTGCAGGCTGGAGTGCAGTGGTGTGATCTTGGCTCCCTGCAACCTCTGCCTCCCAGGTTCAAACACTTCTCATGCCTCAGCCTCCCAAGTAGCTGGGATTTCAGGCATGCACTACCACACCCAGCTAATTTTTGTAGTTTTAGTAGAGATGGGGTTTCGCCATGTTGGCCAGGCTGGTCTCAGAACTCCTGGTCTCATGGGATCCATCTGCTTCAGCCTTCCCAAGTGCTGGGATTACAGGCTGCACCCAGCTGAAATATTATATTTCTTCTAACAATTTAATAAGGGAGTATCACAAGGAAATGGGAAAGGTAAGGACTATGTACAAAATTTTTTGAATAACAATACTCATATGGAATCTGTGTCCCCACCCAAATCTCGTGTGGGGTTGTGATCCCCAGTGTTGGAGGTGGGGCCTTGTGGGAGGTGATCGGATCATGGGGGTGGATGTGTGGATTACTCATGAATGGTTTAGCACAATCTCCCTTGGTACTGTCCTCAGGACACTGAGTTCTCCTGACATCTGGCCATTTAAAAAGTGTGCATCACCTCCCCTGTCTCTCACTGCTCTGGCCATGTGACGTGCTGGCTCCCACTTTGCCCTCCACCATGATTGTAACTTTTCTGAGGCTTCCCCAGAAGCTAAGAAGATGCTAGCATCATGCTTCCTGTACAGTCTATGGAACCATGAGCCAATTAAACCTCTTTTCTTTATAAGTTAGCCATTCTCAGGTATTTCTTTACAGCAATGGGAGAACAGCCTAATACAAATACCAGTTTTGGTAAAAATAGTGGTAGATCATTATAGCAATGGCCTCCCGGGAATCCTGTTTCCTGGTATCCTTGGGACCTGGAACCTTGGAACCCTTGCATCCTTGGGCTTGGACACATCACGTTTTGGGTGGTTTGTTATGGAGCAATAGACAATTCACACATTATCTTATAGAATATGCAGTAGTCCTCCCTATTTGTGGTTTTGCTTTCTATGATTTCAGTTAGCCATGGTCAACTGTGGTCTGGCAATAGGTAAGTACAGCGTATTTTGAGAGAGAGAGAGAGATCACATTCCCGTAAGATTTATACAGTATATTGTTATAACTGTTCAATTTTATTATTTTTTTGTAAATCTATTACTATGCCTAATTTATAAATTAAACTTTATCATAGATACATATATGTAGGAAAAAACATAGTACATATAGGGTTCAGTGCTATCTGTGATTTCAGGTATCCACTGGGGGGGCTTGGTACATATCCCCCTCGGATAAGGGGGACTCCTGTACCAAAATACATTCCAGATAATTAGAGTTAAACATAAAATTAATACAAAATAAAACTAGTAAAAAATAAATATTTGAAATGTGCAGCCCTCAGATGTTTGCATTGCTAGTTCTTTCTCATCATTCAGGTCTCAGATTTCACACCACCTTTGCAGAGAGGTGTTCACTGACCACCCCACTGAAGTAGTGTCTCCCTCTCCCTGCAGTTTCTGTCATCTTACCTTATTTGTATCATCATGAGAATTTATTGTGTTCATTTTTCTTTTTTCTTATTGTCTGCTTTCCTTACTGGAATGTAAGGTTTGTGAGAGTAAGAACCTCCTACATATTTCCAGCTACAATATCCTGGTATGTTATGTCAACTAAAGAAAAAAACAGGCTTTTAAATAATTAAAGTTAATTTTATTCAGAAGTCTGACTGAGTATTGCAACCTGGGAGAATCTTTCAGAGAGTTTGTTATATTGCTCCAAAGCATTATTTCACCACATAGCTTAAACATAGGTGGTGGCTGCTCTGCATGTGTTAAGAAATTACATTAAATGTGCTCAGAAATTATATTAATGATATGGTTTGGCTGTGTCCCCACTCAAATCTCATCTTGAATTGTAGCTCCCATAATCCCAGTGTGTCAATGGTAGGACCTGGTGGGAGGTAATTTAATCATGGGGGCAGGTTTTTCCCGTTAGTCTCAAGATAGTGAATAAATCTCATGAAATCTGATGGTTTCATGAAGTGCAGTTCTTCCACACATACTCTCTTGCCTCCTGCCATGTAAGATGTGCCTTTGCTCCTCCTTTGCTTCTGCCACGATTGTGAGGACTCCCCAGCCAAGTGGAACTGTGAGTCCATTAAACCTCTTTTTCTTTATAAATTACCCAGTCTTGGGTATTTCTTCATAGCGGTACGAAAATGGACTAATACAGTAAATTGGTACTGAGGTAGTGGGGTCCTGCTATAAGGTTAACAGAAAATGTTGAAGTAACTTTGGAACTGGGTAACAGGCAGAGGTTGGAACAGTTTGGAGGGCTCAGAAGAAAACAGGAAAATGTGGGAAACTCTGGAACTTCCTAGAGACTTGGAGGGCTCAGAAGACAGAAAGATGCAAGAAAGTTTGGAACTTCATGGAGACTTGTTGAGTGGCTTTGACCAAAATGCTAATAGTGATATGGACAAAGAAGTCCAGGCTGAGGTGGTCTCAGATGGAGATGAGGAACTTGTTGGGAAATGGAGTAAAGGTCATTCTTGTTATGCTTTAGCAAAGAGACTGGTGGCATTTTGCCCCTGCCCTAGATATCTGTGGAACTTTGAATTTTAGAGAGATGGTTTAGGGTACCTGAAGGAAGAAATTTCTAAGTGGCAAAGTGTTCAAGAGGAAGCAGAGCATAAAAGGAAAACTTGCAGCCTGATGACATGTTAGAAAAGAAAAACCCATTTGGTGGGGAGAAATTCAAGCCTGCTGCAGAAATTTGCGAAAGTCACAAGAAGCCAAATGTTAATCACCAGGACAATGGGAAAAATGTCTCCAGGGCATGTAAGAGGTCTTCCTGGAAGTCCCTCCCATCACAAGCCAGGAGGCCAAGGAGGAAAAATGGGTTTTGTGGGCTGGGCCCAGGGCCTTGCTGCTTTGTGCAGTCTCAGGCTGCTCACACGTGGTATTGGGCCTGTGGGTGCACAGAAGTCAAGAATTGAGGTTTGGGAACCCTGCCTAGACTTCAGAGGATGTATGGAAACACCGGGATGTTCAGGCAGAAGTGAGCTGCAGAGGCAGGGCCCTCATGCAGGACCTCTGCTAAGATAATGCAGAAGGGAAATGTCGGGTGGGATCTCCCACACAGAGTCCCCACGGGGGCAGTGCCTAGTGGAGCTGTGAGAAGAGGGCCACCATCCTCCAGACCTCAGGATGGTAGATCCACCAACAGCTTGCAGCGTGTGCCTGGGAAAGCCAGAGACACTCAATGTCAGCCTATTAAAGCAGCTGGGAAGGAGGCTGTATCTTGCAAAGCCACAGGGGCAGAGCTGCCCAAGACCATGGCAACCTACCTCTTGTATCAATGTGAACTGGATGTGAGACATGGAGTTAAAAGAGTTCATTTTGGAGCTTTAAGATTTGACTGCCCTGCTGGATTTTGGACTTGCATGGGCCCTATAGTCCCTGCGTTTTGGCCTATTTCTCCCAATTGGAATGGGTGTATTTACCCAATGCTTGTACCCCCATGGTAATTAGGAAGTAACTAACTTGCTTATGATTTTACAAGCTCATAGGCAGAAGGGACTTGCCTTGTCTCAGAGGAGACTTTGGACTGTAGACTTTAGAGTTAATGCTGACATGAGTTAAGACTTTGGGGGACTGTTGGTAAGGCATGATTGGTTTTGAAATGTGAGGACATGAGATTTTAGAGGGGCCGGGGTGGAATGATATGGTTTGGCTACATCCCTCCCCAAATCTCATCTTGAATTGTAGCTCCCATAATCCCCGAGTATCAAGGGAGGGACCTGGTGGTAAGTAATTTAATTAAGGGGCTGTTTACCCTCAGCTGTTGTCATGGTAGTGAGTCCTCACGAGCTCTGATGGATTTATTTATTTATTTATTTTTTATTTCATTTCATTTCTGTTTTTTTTTTTTTTTTGGAGACAAAGTCTGGCTCTGTTGCCCAGGCTGGAGTGCAGTAGCATGCTCTTGGCTCACTGCAATCTCCACCTCCCAGGTTCAAGTGATTCTCCTGCCTCAGCCTCCCTAGTAGCTGGTATTACAAGGCATGCGCCCCCACACCCAGCTAATTTTAAAATATGGGGTTTCACCATGTTTGCCAGGCTGGTCTTGAATGCCTGACCTCAGATGATCCGCCTGCCTTGGCCTCCCAAAGTGCTAGGATTACAGGTGTGAGCCACTGTGCCTGGCCTCCGATGGTTTTATATAGGGTAGTTCCTCTGCACATGCTCTCTTGCCTGCTGCCATGTAAGATGTGCCTTTGCTCCTCCTTCATTTTCTACCATGATTGTGAGGTAGATTGTGTCTTCTGCCATGATTGTGAGACATGTGGAACTGTGAGTCCATTAAGCCTTTTTCTTTATAAATTACGCAGTCTTGGGTATTTCTTCATAGCAGTATGAAAATGGGTTAATACAAGTAAAGTCTCATCAAAGTATGGGTATGAAGTTACATCTGGTCATGAATTTGAGGCATAATCATTAATCCTGTCAGACATTATCTTATGTACAGGAACAGGCAAAGGCTAGGATCACTGAACTTACCTTTTGTAAAAATTCAGTGATTCAGGCAAGAGATGTGAGAACCTGTTCCCTATCCTGCTCATGGTCTTCAAGGCATTCTTCCGCAAGTCTGCTAACGGTCAATGAGTCAGGGGCTTTGTGAAACATTGCTGGCAAAAGAGCAGAATGAGCAAATGGCTTCTCATCTTTGCTACTTTGTTTAATAATCATCAGCATCCAACAGATATCTGTTGAATTAATGAATAAATGGAAGATATTCTGGCAGTATATTCACTTTCTAGGATTCACATAATGGAAAACCTAAATTTGACTACATAGCATGAAACCTCTCATAAAGTGCAATAGCAAAAGAAACAAAAGGAAAAGAGAGACAAGAGAATGGGAAAAGCAATAGCATAAAATATGGCAACGGCTAATGTTACTTATTTATAAATATATTCAAATTCATATGCAAAACATAAATGTGTAAACAAAGAATTTACATCAGAGGACACAGAGATAGTTTAGAAACACAAGAAAAACATCAGATCTTGATAGTAACCAAAGAATTACAAATATAGTAACCTAGGGGTAACATTTCATACCAAAGAATTTAAAGGAAAAAAATGGTATGATTTGGTGTTAGGTTGCATATTCTGATAGCGCTGTAAGTTTGTTCATTTTGGAAAGCAACATCATTTATAGTTATTAAAATGTTTTTGAATATTTTGACCCCAGATTCCTATTTCAGGAAAATTATACGAACAAAGTAATTCAGCAGATTTAAAAAGCCAAAGCACAAAAGATACTCTTTACAATATTATTTTCATAGTAAAACTTAAAAACTTCGCATTGTGCAGTAGAGGGACAATTACTTTGGCTGAGGCATCAATAATGGATGGAATTTTATCTCACCATTAAAAGTTAAAATTGTGAGGATTATGAAGCAGCATGGAAACGTTTGTCATACTCGATGAAATGCAGAACTTAAAACTGAATGCACATAACAAAGAGAATGGTGGACCATACATATACACAAGCTGTCTCTTCCAGATAGGCTTTAGTTCTATAATTACGGAAGATACTCAAGAAACAAAAACTTAACTAGTTTCCCATGTTCATCCTTTCACCATGTAAGAGACCCCAAGCCTCTGAATTGCAGCGCCCACCCACATTTTCCATTTATAGTTTATCCCATTTATCATCTTTTTGTGCCAGAATCCTTGTTCTTCCTACCACATCCAGCTTCATATTTTCAAAGAATTGGCAGCACTCTGCCAAAAAAAAAAAAAAAAAAGAAATAAGGGAATAGAGAAATAACTTTTAAAGCTTAAGGAGTCATGGGTTTTTCCTCCGCTCACCTTTCAAATTTTTTTCTTAAACGTTATACCTATTTTACAACCTCCAAACTGAAAACGCAGTTAAGGTCGATATCCTGGGTCTACCTTGTCCCAGCCGCTCCGGACTCTCGAGCTCCGCAAAAGCGCGGAGTCCTAAAGCCGGTCCAGAGGCCGCCTCGAAGAGGCGCGGATGGCGTCGCAAAAACCCGCTGGGCTTCTTTACGGCACTGCCTCCGCCCCTTCAGGTGCGGGAAGTCTGAAGCCGGCAAACATGGCCGTCACCTACTCTCTCAGCCGGCCTGCGGCTGCCTTGGTAGCGGTGTTGCTCTTGTCTTTCGGCAGCGTGGCCGCTAGGCATATCGAGGTAGGAGTCAGGCTTATTTGACCACAGAGCCCCGGGAGGCCGGCTGTGTCGTGACTGTGCGCTCTCCAGCAGATGTCCGATACACAGCAGCTGAGGGAAGCCTCCTGGAGTCAATCAGCCCCTGACCCTGGCTGGGTTTGAGGAGGGTGTCACTGGGCACGGGTTAGGACAGTGTTGGTCTGTTTCAGCGTTTTAAAAGGATGAATTAAAAGAATCAAACGCTTGGAGACAGAGGAGGACCTGATCCTTTGCTCCTACATGTGTGCAGTTCTTAGCAGGTGAAATACGAGCAAGAGGCTGGTGAAATGTCAGTGTGCAGCAACTACTTTCCTGCTACGCAACTGCAGCCCTCTGTTTTGATAGGAATCAGACGGAACTGGAGAGGTGAGAGCAATTTTAAGAATTCAGATCGTAGAATTTAGTGATAATTAGAACATGGGATAAAGAGAAGTGTTTATTAAGATTCTCAAGTTTCTGGCTTAGGAGCAACATGTCTGGGTTAAGAAATGGAGGAGAAAACGGGTGCTCAGTTTTATCATGGGCTTTCCCAGCGTCCCATTTTTAAACGTGGACACAAGACATTCTGGTGCTCTATAATGTTTTACTATCCACCGTAGTCTTATGATTCCTCAGTCCAGGTCTACAATCTAGATGTCTGGTATCTTTTTCAGGCCTGCATATCCAGCTGACTAAGAAGCCGGGATAGTCAGGAGACATTTGAAAATCTGTGTCCAAAGTTTTGTCTTCTGCTTAGCCTACCTACTCTTAAGAAGACACTGAAAAACTAAGCACCTCTTTTCTCCTTCGTTTCTCCACCCAGATATGCTGCTCCTAAGCTAGAAACCTGAGAGTCTTAATCTCTTTATCCCATATTTTAATTATCACTAAATTCTATGATCTGAATTCTTAAAATTGCCCTCACCTCTCCAGTTCCACTGACTTAATTCAGGCTGTGATCACTTCTTGTCTAAACTCTTGCGATTACTTTATCTTGTTTTCCATAGGCCTCCATACTCCCTCACTTTAGTGCTAGATTCGTCTCCACGAAATGTAAGTCTGATAAGGTTATTCTTCTGATGAAGTCTTTTAAATATTTCTCCGTTGCATACAGAATAAAGTCTAAACGTTATGACCTGGTTCTTGCCTACTTTTCCAGTGTTCCGTTTTGGAACCTCTTCTCCCCACCACCTGGGCACCTTGAGTTTAGACCAGTGGACTCCAAACTTTTTGAATACACACCCTATCAGTTAAAAAAAAGATATTGAGCATGAACTTTGTATATATTTATGAATTACTGTTAATTTATATATTCGATATTTATATAGCATATTTTTTAGAGAACATAAATATGAGTAAATAGAAGTTCTATTTCCTTCCTTTATTCTGATTTTGACTGCTTCATCTTGGATACTATTACTGTTTTTTGTAGTTACATAATTGCTGTGCTTTTTCACATTATGGTATTTTATACATCCTGTTTCCTCTGTTCATTTGCTAGGATACAGTGAAGTCATAACCTCTGTAGAAACTTTCCGTATCTCTTACCTTTGCCTTTACTTTTGTAATTCGTACACTTGATACAGCACTCATTTACTATAACCCTTGTATACTTTGTACTATTATTCCATCATCTCTCACTTAGATATAGGAGCAACAGTTCCCTAAATGTTTTTGTTTGAGTCATTGTTTTTTCCTTTCAATCTGTTCTCTAAATTGAAGCAGAGTAACTTTTAAAAATGCAATTCCGATCATGTCACCCAGGCACCTTAATGTTGCTCAAAAGATCACCTTAATGTTGCTCTAAATTCTTCACCATGACCCACAAACAAAACCCTGCATATTTTTTGGGCCCTGACTACACTTCCAATTTTTTCTCTTTCTCTTTCAAACTTCTAGTTAGGTTTTCTTTTAGTTTCTCAAAACCTTTAAGCTTCTTCTCACATTAGAGCTGTCTCCCCTCTGTCTGGAATTGTGTTTCCTCTTTTCTTCATCTTTTGGATTTTAACCCAACAGTCACTTCTTTAGGAAAACTTTGCTGACCAGGTCAGGTCCCTCCGTTGTACTCTTCTTATATTGTATGTCTTTCCTTATCTGTTAAATGTATATCTATCCAATATCCAATATCCAGATAGATAGTAACCTATTTGAAGGCAGTACTATGGCTATTTTTGCCCAGCATTCTATTTGGAGCACTCAGGGCAGTGACTGGCATGTTACCCAATGAGTGTGATGAATTAATGAATGTTACATTGTAGTGTAAGTGTTTGCATGCTCCTCTTTATTGAACTCTGGATTCTTGAGAGAAAGCAGCATGTTTTTTAGTGATTTTTGTATCACTATATATTAATGGTACTCTTGATATCTGGGTGATACGGAAATTTAAAAATTTAAATTTCTGTGCCTGACTTATGTGGCACATAATAGGTGCTCCATTTACTGTATGTAGAATGAATAACTTTATAATGACTGTATTGTCTAGACAACCACAAAAAAGTTTTGCCATCTAAATTTTTTCACTAAGGTCTGAAAGAAGTAAGAACTTTGGGGGTGGAAGGCACATTAGAGACATGAGGATAGTCAAGTCTAAGGAGCTAAATGACTTACCCCAATTTCACAGCCAGTTGCGAGATAGGACCTGCATTTTAGCTTAGGTCTTTGAATTCCCAAATCAATGCTTAACCACTGTAGCGCATTGCTTTCTTTAACATCCAGGCAGCTGTTGAGTTTAGAGGTGGAAAAATACACACACACACACACACACACACATACACACAGACATGCCATACACACTCTTTTTGTTCAGGTTATTATTCTATATTTATCATGTCAGTAATTTAACTGACATGATTTAACCACTATTCTCTATTTCCATGAGATCAAGTTTTTAAAAATTTCCATATCTGGGTGATACGGAAATTTAAAAATTTAAATTTCTGTGCCTGACTTATTTCACTTAATGTAATTTCCTCCAGGCTCATCCATGTACCTATTTATGATAGGATTTTATTCTTTTTATGGATGGATAATATTCCATTTTATATATACACGAGTGCACATGTGTGCGCGCACACACACACATACATTTGCTTTATCCATTCGTCTATTGATAGATACTCAGGTTGATGCTATATCTTGGATATTGTGAATAGTGTTGCAATAAATATGGAGTGTAGATATCTCTGGCCTACTGGTTTCCTTTCCTTTGAATATATGCCCAGTAGTGGAATTGCTGGATCATATGGTAGTTCTATTTTTATTGTTTTGAGGAGCCTCCATACTGTTCACCATAGTGGCTGTACTAATTTACATTCCCACCAGCAGTGTATAAGAATTCCTTTTTGTCTACATCATAACTAGCATTTGTTATTTTGTGTCTTTTTGATGATAGCCCCTAAGATGATATCTCATCGTGGTTTTGGTTTGCATTTCCTTGGTGATTAGTGATATTGAGCATTTTTTCATATACTTGTGGGCCATTTGTATGTCTTTTGAGAAATATCTATTCAGATCCTTTGCTTATTTTTAATTGGATGATTATTATTGTTATTATTTTTTGCTGTTAACATAGGTTTGAGTTCCTTGCATATTTTGGATGTTAATCCCTTATTGGATGAATAGTTTGCAAATATTTCAGGATTGCTTTTCTATTTCTGTGAAGAATATCATTGGTATTTTGATAGAGATTGCATTGAACTGTAGATCACTTTAGGTGATATGATCATTTTAACAATACAATATTTATTCTTCCAATTCATGAGCATGGAAGCATTTTTATCTTTTTGTGTTCTCTTCATTTTCTCTCATCAATATGTTGTAGATTTCATTGTAGAGATTTTTCACTTCTTGGTTAAATTTATTCCTAGGTGTTTAATTTTTCTGTAGTTATTGTAAATGGGATTGCCTTCCTGATTTTTCTTCAACTAGTTCATTATTGGTATATAGAAATGCCACTGATTTTTGTCTGTTGATTTTGTATCCTGCAAATTTACTGAATTAGTCTATCAGTTCTAAGAGATTCTTTTGTGGAGTGTTTAGGTTTTTCTATATATAAGATCATGTTGTTTGCAAACAAGGACAGTTTGACTTCCTCCTTTTCAATTGGGATGTCTTTTATTTCTGTCTCTTGTTTAGTTGCTCTGGCTAGAACTTCCAGCGATATGTTGAATAAGAGTGATGAGAGTGGGTATCCTTGTCTTGTTCTAGTTCTTACAGGGAAAGATTTCAACTTTTCCCTGTTCAGTGTAGTATTGGCTGATAGATGGCCTTTTTGTGTTTAGGTGTGTTCCTTCTATATCCACTTTGTTGAGAGTTTTTATTGTGAGGGGATGTTGAATTTCATCAAATGCTCTTTCTGTGTCTACTGAGACAGTCATATGTTTTTTGTCCTTTGTTTTGTTGATGTGATACATCATGTTTATTGATCTGCAATTAATACTACTCGATCGTGGTATATTATGTTTTTGTTGTGCTGTTGGATTCAGTTTGACTGTATTTTGTTGAAGATTTTCGCATCTATGTTCATCACAGGTATTGGCCTGTAGTTTCCTTTTTTTATTGTATGCTTGTTTTCTGGTTTTGTTATCAGGGTAATGCTGGCCTCATAAAACGAATTGGGAAGAATTACTTCTTTAATTTTTTTGGGATAGTTTGAGAAGAATTGGTGTTAGTTCTTTAAAAGTTTGGTAGAATTCGGCAGTGAAACCATCCCGTTCTGGGCTTTTCTTCGTTGAGGGACTTCTATTACTGCTTCAAGCTCGTTACTTAGTCTCAGTCCGTTCAGGTTTCTCTTTCTTCCTGGTTCAGTCTTGGTAGCTTGTATGTGTTCAGGAATTTATCCAT